GGGCAGAGCATCCACAGGTGGCTCCTGTCCATCTGGCCCTCTGTTGCTGTGTCCCTGGGAGCCGGCCCAGGTCGGGGGGGGCAGGGTGGCTGGTGATCTGAGCCAGGACCCCCAGCTGCACCCACGCTGGGGAGGCCAGGTCCGTGACAAGGTCACAAGGCTACGCTGCACCTGAGACAGTGGGTAGGCAAGCAGGGAGAGAGTGAGGTTGCCCCCCCACCCCACTTGGAGCTCTGTTGGGGGTCAGGGCATCATGGGTGCAAAGGATCCTCTGCTTCTCTCTGGATTGGGGGGGATGGGTTTTCCCCTTGCTCTTTTGTTCTGATTTAGAGCTTTAAGTAAGTGTGGTAGAGGAGGAGAGTCTGCTGGAGGATGTCAGGTGGGCCTTGGAAGACACAGATGGGTCTGTGGCCTTGGGGGGCTGCCTGGAAGCCCCCATGGGCCCTGTCTACCTCTCAGTCCTGCGGCTGATGGGGTGCCAGGGTGCTGGACGCTGCAGTCGGTGGTCCGTGCTGAATTCCTAACAGGTTGCAACTACAATGCCCACCTTGCAGATGACAGGAGTGAGGCCCCACGAGGTCAGTGTGCTTCCGTTGTGGGCCTGTAAGTGGTAGTGGGAGCCCAGGTTGGTGTTGCTCCACGGCCCATGTGCTAAGGTTTCTGCAAAGTTTCCACCCGTGCCTGCAGGCTGGTGTGTGCGTGAGGCACAGAGATGGGGAGGGGGTTATACGGGAGCGTGTGTGCTCGCATGTGTCTTCAGGACAGGCTCAGGAAGGGAGAGGGGCTTGGGGAGGGTGGCACTCTCCAAGGAAGGTAGGTGCACATTCAGATGTCTTTGCAAACACAAGGATACCCAGACACTGACTGGCAGACCTGGTGGGCAAGTTGGACGGGTCTGGCTTCCAGTGCCACCTCCATCACCTACGGGCTTTGAGACCTCGAGCAAACAGCGTCGTGCATCCTCAACTGTAGGACAGGTCACATGCATGCACCTTGCCTGTGCACCCCAGACGAGTATGTGCAGGACTGTGCGTGCACACACACATGCACACACGCTCAGTGTGTCTGGCTCCTTCTCATCGACTGACACCTTCATAGGAAGACCTCTCACACCCTCCCAAGTCATCCCGCCGCTGTGCCCCTTTGTTAAATGTGACCTTGTTAAAAAGTCTGCGGGAGGAAGAGAGGAAGGGCGCACCCCCTGCACAGAAGCCGGGTGATGATTGCTGCTCAGTGTTACCTGCTAGCATAGGTTCTCAATCCTGGAGGTGTGGACAGCTGAGACCCCGTGCACCCCCTCTCCAGAGGTTGTTTGGGGCAACCTGAGAGCAGGGTGGGATTTATAACGCATCTGAACAAACATAGAGTGCATCTTTAAAAACCAATGCAGGAACGCATTTTGAAAACAAGGAGGATGACCGTAAACACGATGAAATATGCCTTTGAGAAGAAATTCAAATATAGACTTTGTCCACAGAGGAGAGTCTGTTCGAAAGGGGAGGCACCGCTTTGGTTCAGTGACTGTAACTCGCATCCATGTTGGTCTGTTCTTTAGGCTGACTCTGCTGTCGGATGTGTGGGGAAGGGGGCACCGCAGAGGTAGGAGGGAGAGATCCTATCGTCTCCCTGTCACTTTCTGCTGCTGAAATTCTCTTCGTCAGTTACTTGTCCCAGCTCTGCACCCCCGTCCCCCTGAAGAACATAAGCTTTGCGAGGTCCCCGCCCTCCCCTGCTTCTTTGCCACGGCATCCCCCGCACCTGGCATGGTCTCTGGGGGTGGGCTCCCCTTCCCTCTCTGCCCACATCTAGTGGGGTGAATGGCTCCCACAGATGGAGCCAGCCCGGCTTCCCCGCAGCCATTCCCTCTGGCTGGGACCCCCACCAAGGCCAGCCTGTCACACATGTCCTCAGTGTGGCAGTGACCTAGGGGGCCGGTGGCCGGAAGGGAAGGGTGTGGTGGGGGTGGTGCATGAGCCACAAATTCTGGAGCCTTTGCTCTTCAAGCTCAGGAACCAGATAGACTTGGGCACATCTTCCGGTGAGCTTGCTGCCCCCGTCCAACACTCAGGGACCAAGTAACAGGGGCAGTAGGACTGTCCTGACCGTCCAGGCTCTCGCTACTTGGGAACAGAATGGATGTGCACAGTAAGGAATATCTGCATATTAATATAGTGTGGACGGTAGTTTTTATACCTTTAGTATCTGCTGACTGGGAACACGTATAAAATTAACGTAAATTCAGCAAGAATTTTAAATGACTGTACTTTTTGAATCATAGAAATTGCTATATACACTTGACTTACACTTAAGTATTTCTTTGTGTTTTGGGGGGGTTTGGGGTGACATTTATAAGTGGTACTGTTTCTCAAATTTCAAATTCTGGTTCTTCATTGACAATATATTCACTTTCGTATATTGGTCTTGTATCCGGCGATCTTGCTGTACTCAATTATTTGTTCCAGAAGCGTTTTTGGTGGGCTATGTTTTGTTTTGCTTTTTTGTAGATTTTGTAGAGCTTTTGTTTTCTGTATAGACAGCAATGCCATCAGAGAACAGAGATGGTTTTGGTTTTTCCTTTCAAATATGTATACCTACTGTTTCTTCTCCTGTCTTGCTGTACCAGCCAGACCCTCCTCCACATGGGTGCATCCCTTGCAGGAAATCCAGGGCCTGTGAGCAGGAAATTGCTGTCCAGCCTGCCACACTGCCCACCGTGGTGGGCAAGCATCGAAAGCTTAGAGGGTCCCCACAGGGAATGTGGGCCAGACCCAGCTTTACACCTAGAGGTGCACGCCTTGGAATGTGCTTCTCGCCTGGCCCCAGCCGTGCTGCTCAGGCTGGGTGTGTGTTTGGGAGTTTGTGGTGGGTGGGGCAGGAAGGACGGGCAGGAGGCGCCGTCTCTGGGCCAACAGGGCTGGCCTCGCCCTTCAGGAACAGTTTATGCTCTGGGATCTGGGCTCAGGGCAGGGGACAGTGCCAGCATCCTGCAGCGGTGCTGGGCACGGTGGGGGCAGGGCTGATGCGCCCCCCCCGCCGTAGCCGTGGCTGGGGGAGCACCCCCCTCTCACTTGCTCATTGGCATCTGCTGTGTGTGCCAGACGGGCCCCTCCAACGTCGGTCAGAATTGAAAAGGGACAGTGTCCGTCAGGCTTCTCACTGTGCAGATGGGGTAGCCGAGGCAGGGACATGGCTCCTACGGGAACGCGGGTTTCTCCAGACACAAGACGGGTGACCTGCTGGCCAGGGCTGATGCCGCGGGGACAACGAGCCCTGTGTGCAGGGTGGTTGCACTGTTTTCCACAGAATCTAAGGTGCGGTAGTGCCTACTGCTGCCCAGAGCCTCACCAGTAACGTAGTCAGTATGTTGTCTACATTACATATTATGCAATTACAGTAGTTTAAGCTGGAGAAAAGAAAACATTATTAAGAAATGTGTGAGGAAGTTTATTGAAAGAAAAACCCCGTGTGTTTATTGAAAGGCCCGTGTCGCTCAAGGATCCGCATGAGCTATGACAAGCCGTGATGTGCGATGCACTCCAGTTTTAAAGGTGGGAAAACGTGAGAAAATGCGCCTCTTAGAACTGATAAAATAGGATGATTTATGAAATTAATAGTCATAAAATCACGTGAGCTGTGTAAAACCCACATTTTCTCTGCCTCCTCCTGTCAGATTCACTCTGTACGAATAACATCTGCAGGCGCCTTGGTGTGTGTCCTTCCGGATATGCTGACGCCGCTGTCCGTAAATTTATACAATAATCTCTGTTGTGGACGCTCACCATGTGCTAATGAGCGCTGTGAGTCTCGGTTAGAGATTTATACACTCCCCAAGCAGGTGTGAGCCGTCCTCACCTTACAGCCGGGGAAACCGAGGCACAGAGGGGGCAGGGGCCTCAGCCTGAGCTTGAATCCAGGCCTGTCCCTCCTCAGACCTGAGCACTTAACCCACACGCCGCCTGAATCCTCCGTGGGCAGATACAAGCGTGTTTTCCAAACACGGTCAAAAGGAACATACTGTTCTGGGCCCTACCTGCCTTCCCGCCTCCCAGCCACACCCTGTGGGCGTCCTTCTGCGTCCACACACGACGAGCCGCTGCACCATTCCGCCCCGGCCCCGCACGCGGACGCTAGGGTATCTTCCAGGCTCCAGTGTTGTCAGACATGATGGTTAACCGTTCTCGGATGGCTTCCTCAAAAAAACTACCAGGTCAGTTTTCTCCTAACGCTTTGATGGTTTCAGTTTTGATGGATTTTAATGCACCTGCAGCCCCCGGTCTTCACGTGTCTGGGGGGCGGGCGAGGGCGTGCTGGGCTGGTTCCGTGTGAGTCCCCAGCTGCCTGTGGAGGGAGGGAGCTCAGAGAGGGGCTCCTGGCCCGGCCTGGTGAGGGGTGCAAGGTGGGCGGAGGAGGCCACGTTCTGTGTGCGCCCTGCCCCGAGAGCCGTCAGCACCCGTCCTGCCTTCTGTGGGTGTTAGTCATGGTCCAGCGGCCGTGGGTCTGGGCCTTCGGAGAGGCGGACACTGAGCATGCATTCCTTCTGATCCTTTGAGCTCGGGACTGATGGTTGCCGGTACTTTACGGGGGGAGAACCGAGGCTGTGGCTGGAAACAGGATGGCGCGGGCTGCCTAGGTGAGGTGGAGCTCAGGCCCAGGCCCCTCCCTGCTGCGGCTTGTGTGTCTTGCCGGAGGCGGAGGAGGCGGTCCAGGCCTGCACACGCTGTGTGGGTGTCGGTGCGTCGGCCTCCCTCCCCTTCACCCGCCTGTCGCCGTTGGGCATGGCCAGGAGCATGTGGGAACACGTGTCCACGACTGGCTGTGACGTTCTGGGCCTTCGTCCCCTGCTCCGCCGACCTTGATGTCTCATTTTGAGCAGGCGGCTTCGTAGGTGGTGGCGCCTTTGAGTGGCCACCGTGAACAGAGCCCCCTTCCCACCGGTAGAGACCGTGCGCCCACGCAGCACGGCCCACCGTGTGTTCTGGTGCACGGGTCTCCTTGGCGGCATGACTTACCACCTCCACTCTCGATTTTGGGGCTCTCACTATGGCATGTCGGAGAGGGATTGGGGGCCCAAATGCAAGCACGGTGTCTGGCCGGCTCAGCAAGGTGCTGGGCACCGACCGAGGGACGGGGGACGCCGGCTGGCCCTTGGTCTGAAGGCACGGGTTTACCTGCCTCATGCAGGACACGGTCTCAGGCCTGGCTAACGGCCGTGTTCCCTCTGGCAGGTGGCCCTCCCCCGGGTGGCGGCACGCCCTGGCACCTTCGAAACGTCCTCAGCGACTCAGTGGAGAGCTCAGACGATGAATTCTTTGATGCCAGAGGTGAGTGCACCCCATCGTCCCCTCATGGCCCAGATGGCCTTTCTCGAAGCCCCAGGAAGGGGATCCCTGTTGGGGGTTAGTGTCTCCCCCTCCTTGGGCCCCACGTCCCACATTCCACAGGTATCCAATCTGTGAGTCCCAGGGCAGGGGGTCCTGCCTTCACCCTGCAGCTCTCTGGGTCTAGCTCGGGGGCTATGCAAGGCACTCACCGTGCTGCAGAGTCCGTGGGGCGTGGGCACTGCCCTGCTCGGGCTTGTGCTTTAGTGGCAGGGGTGGAATCCAACGGTGACACCGAGGGAGACGCACGCCCGAGGGGCAAGCATGCCGCTGAGTAAAAGGCACCAGGTGTTAACAGCAACGGTGATGGCGGGTCCCTGGTGGACTCGGGGTGGGGAGGTCTGTGGGACCCTCTCCACAGTGACGAGGGACGAGGGGAAGGAGCCTTCCAGACACAGGAGGTGACAGCGGAGTCCATCCAGATTTTCCGAGGGTGGGTCCCCGTGGCCCCGCTCGCCTGGCCAGCGTGGGGGTGGATGAGAAGCACCAGGGCTCTCCTCCTGCACCCAGGGGCCCCAGTCCTCACTGGCCGGCTTGGCCCCCCCGGGGAGGCACCATATCTGGGGGGTCGGCTCACTCCTGGGACGGCCAGCTTTGAAATGCCTGGCAAAACAGGGTCTTGAAAGACAAACAGACTGTGCGCTAGGAAGACCTCGGACCCGAGCGGACACCTGGGACATGGTCTCAGCCGTGCTGTTGATCTCCAGGCCTCAGGTTCCCTGTGAGCTCCGCGCCTCCAGAAATGGGGAATGCCCAGTGCAGGTGCCTTCCAGGAAGCCCAGCTGGGCAGGGGGTCTTGGCCCTGAGGCCAACCCTGCACCGGCCCGGTTGGGACTCGTTTGCTGCCCCCACTGGTGTCTGGCTGCTTCCCGGGGACACCTGCCTATAGTGTGGCAACAACAGTGTCAGTATGTTGACGCTCAGAACACTTTTACTTCACATACTTTGCAGTTCATTGGGGCTGGGGTTCCCGGATGATGGGGAGGGCTTGTGGCGGGAGGCACTGTGCGTGGGCAGGTCAGGCCTGCTCACCTGCTTCCCCTCGGAGGGTCCTGCCCCCACCCTGCTAGCCGCTCCCCACAGCCTAGCACCCCAGCCCTGAGCCACAGGGGCCGCCCACAGGCTGCTGAGGCGCCCTTACTTCTGAGCTGCCCTCTCCCCACCTCCTGTGGGGTCTGTGTGGTCCCCTGGTCAAGGCCGTTGGAGTTTCTTTGGCTCAAGCAAGGCAGTCAGAGGTGAGGCCGTCCTTCTCTGCTGCCCTGAGCTGGGCCAGGCCGTGGGTGTCTGGGATTAGAGCTGTGCCCACGTTCTCCACGAGACCCGCGTGGTCAGTGAAATGCAATGGTTATCCCACCCCCTTCACTACGAGAAGCCAGGCATTGGAGCAAGGAGCAGGGTGTCTGCAGACCGAGTGCAGCTCTCGGGCCCAGCCTCCCGCCAGGAGGGGAGCAGGGAGTCTGCCGGTGCCGGGCATGGAGACAAGAGACAGCAGAGGACACAGAAGACGTGGCCGCGGCAGACGCAGAGCCGACAGAGCGGCCACCAGGCCCCTGGTGTGTGTGCACGCGTGTGTGTCCTCTCGGGGGGGAGCCCACTGTTGGCAGAGTAAACCCCCCCCGGCCCGCCCCGGCTGAGTTTGAGACCAGGCAGAGGGGAGGCCCGGGGGGGAAGAGAGCGGGTTGAGGGGTGGGTGGGGGCAGAGAGTGAGTGAGCAGGAGTGGAGCACGTGGCCAGAGCGAGGCCTACCGTGGGTGTGGCAGAGACTGCTGCGGCCTGAGAGGAATGGGGGGAGCCCTGGGGTGAGAGCTGAGCTGCGTGGGGCGGGCCGACGCCAGGCACAGGGGCACGGCGGCACGTCTGTGAGGATGGTGCGCTTGCTGGAAAGAGGCAGACCAAGGGGCCGTGGACCAGGAGAGGAGGGGGCCTCTGCACTGAGCCCTGGGGCTCCCGGGGCTCTGACCACCTCACACACAGCCTGGGGGGGCCGTGGACCAGGAGAGGAGGGGGCCTCCCCGCTGAGCCCTGGGACCCCCGGGCTCTGACCACCTCGCACACAGCCCCGGGGGGCCAAGCTCTGTGGAGGAAGAGGGACTTGGATGTGTGGACAAGTGATGCTGGATGCCCAGCACTGGGGCTCACCGTCCTACTGCATCAGAACGGCACACTGCTGTGTTTTCTCCCGAAAGTGGATTCCTGTGGGATGGGGGTCGTGTCTCATGCCACACCCAGCAGGTGTGCATTGAAGGTTGCACGAGCAGGTGAACAGCTGTGTGCTTGGGAAACCGAGCTGGGAGACCAGGCCCTCAAGGTGGCCGCAGGCCGATGCTGCCCACGCCTCCTGCCCCTTCGGACGGGACGCCCCAGGGCAGAGGGCAGCGGAGGGTCGGGGCACAGCCCGCTCTGGGGCAGTGGCGGCGATGTGCTGTTATCCTCCCGGGCTGTTCTCCAGGACCGTGCTCTGCCCTGTGGTCGTCATGCCCGCAGACACCGTGCTGACCACCTCTAACCCCAGGGCAGGCCCTGATGCCGCGGTGCGGTTTTACAGTGAGAAAGACTGAGGTTGGTAAACACACGTTACCATTCGAGGTCCGAGAGCCAGCAGACGGTGCGTCCAGGGTTGAAGAGAGTGCGTCGAACCCCAGGGCTGAGTTTTTAACCCCTTGGTGGTCCTGCTCCCGCAAAGGCAGTGCCACCTGACACTTTCTGAGCGCACGTGGGCCTCTGCAGCTTTGCAGATTTAGGGCATCACCCTTTGTCCTCAGGACAGCTTGCTACAAAGGGCTGTGGAACCAGGGCCCCATGGAAGACATATGAGCACAGGAACAGCTGAGGGTCACGTGGGGCAGCGTCTGAACCGGAATCCGGCCAGGGGTCTGCCCAGAGCACAGCACTGCCCGCAGGTGTCGACATGCGCCCCGATGAGGTCGCAAGGTCCTGAACTGCTCTCTGCTTCGCTTTCTGAGTCTATAGAACGGAAGTGATAACGATCGTTACCTTTGGGGGATTGTTAGGAGGATCAAGTGGGGGGATGTTTGTGAAGCACTTAAACGGTCTCAGTGCAGAGTGAGCATTTGGTAAGCGTGGCTGAACGCATCAGCGGGGCGAATGCGCCAGGCCGGAGCATGCGTCCCAGCAGGAAGTGGGGTCGGGAGTGGTCAGAACTCTGGACAGCTCCCCGCACTCCCACTCCGCCATATTGGCACCATCTTGGGCAGCAAAATGGGTCTTGTGCCTCATTTCGCGGCTGTCATGAGCTTGAGGGTTCTCCTCACTGGCCCGTTAATGTCTACCCTATGAGAGAGGGCACAGCGCTCTTCGCCAGGAAGTCCCATCCCTTTGACAGCAGGGCCAGCAGATGCCTGTGGGTTCATTCTAGAGGAAATGCCCCTCTCTGGGATGGGGGACTGCACCCGATGACGTGGGGGACCCAGGGGCCTGTGCTCAGTGTGGTTGGGGAACATGGCCCCACCGACTCCTTCGGACCAATCCCTGAGCTCTTTGGGGAAGGGCACAGATGGAGACGGGGCTGAGGGGGCTGTCGGGGAGGATGGAGGCATTACTGGGTTCATAAGGTAGATGTGAGAGCCAAGGGGGTTCTGTAAAGCTCAAGACTTGCTCAGAGCCAGATGTCTTCTGCTCTCCCAGGTACAGCAGAGCTGCTCCTGCCCCACTCAAACCCCAAATACTGGTGGCAACCCCCTTCTCATGTGGAGGAATAACCGTACTGTCTTTATCAACCAGCACCCCCTATGCACTGAGACCTTTACCCCATTACCTCGTTGAATCCTCACGGCAGCTCTGCGGGGTGGACCTTGCCACACCCATTTTTCTGATGGGAAAACTGAGGCTTTGGAGAAGTCAAGTAACTTACCCAAAGAAAAACCGTGAGCTAGGGGCATGGCTTTCCTTTTCCTTCAGACACACTTCCTCTCAGGAAATACCACTCTTGCGTCAGGAATGGAGATACGAATGGGGTTTTCAGCCTCTCTCATCGCCATCTCCTTGTTCCTGTCTTTGGCTGCAGCCTGTGGGGGCCCCGTAGGGTGCAGCAGCAATGCCTGCTCGCGGTGGAAGCTTCTGGAAAGTGTCGCAGCTGTCCACAAGCACAAACACCTTCGGTAGTGGAAGTCGGCCTCCGCGGGTCCCCTGGACACAGCCCACGCGCTCATGCTCGTCTCTGCTTCCGCCCACAGAGGAGGTGGCTGAAGGGAAGAACGCCATCCTCATCGGGATGAGCCAGTGGAATTCCAACGACCTGGCGGAGCAGATGGAGACCATGGGGAAGCTGGAGGAGCATCAGGGTGAGCCTCTGCTTCTGGGTGCCTGGGGCGTGTGCACGAGGTGCTGCAGGGGGGCCGGAGTGTGGGCAACCGTGGCTAGAAATCGGGTCTTCTAGAAGAGTCTCGCTTCTCTCTGGGTGCCTCCCCTGTTTGAATCTACGGTCCCTGAACATTGTGCCCTGCAGGGACCCCCATGGGCTCTCGTGCGGGGCTCTCTGTGCAGAGTGGCTGAGCTTCCTTTGTCCACGGGATGACCACAGGGGCACACGTTCCCAGGGGCAGGGGGCGGGGACCACGCTCCTTGGATGGCCAGACCTGTGGTGTTGGCAGAGCTGGTTAAGCTGGGGCGGCAGTGGAGGTACCTCTGGGAAGGAACCGGAAAGGGGAGCAGGGTGGACTGTAACTTCCAGCGGCTGAGTGGTTGCAGAGGGGTGTGCGGCTGGGGATTAATCCACGAGGCTTTTCATGGAGGCCAGCTGGGCCAGGAGCTTATCAACAGAGCGGGCCCATCCTCTCGGACATCCTGCCCATTTGGCCATTTCGCACCACTAACCGAATGTTTCTTGAGCACCTACTGCGTCATTCAGGAGGCGGAACCAAGGTGCCTCACCTGGGGCCGCTGCCTTGTGACGGTGACTCAGGACAAGACAAGATGTAAGGGGTCAGGCTTGGGCGGAGGGTCGCTGGGCCCAGGGGGAGAGGGGTCAGGGAAGCCAGGCTTTGAGGGGCAGGGAAGGCCGTATAATCAGAGAGAGGCTGTGATGGATTAAGGTCACTCAGGAATGAGGGGCAGATCTAGAACCCTGCCTGGGGTCCAGGGTGCTAACTGTGTACGTGTTGTCCCCAGGCTCGTTTTACCCGTCCCTCCTCCCACCCCATATAGCACCTCTTCCTCACTTCCCGTCATTCCTCACTCAGGGGCTGGGTGCTCTGTGAGATGGTCCTGGCCCAGCCCAAGAGAAGGGCTGTCTTGCTGGCAGCCGGTTCGGTGCTGGTGTCTTGCCCATAGCCGCTTCCCTCGAGCCCCTTCCGCCCCCTTGGCTTGGAGCTCTCGCCATGCCCGAGAGCTGTCCGAGGAAAGGACACACCAGGGGTGGCTGTTCATTCTACAGATGGAGAACCCAAGGCTCACAGAAGCTGTGTCTTGCCCAAGGTCCTCGAGCTGGTGGCGGCATGGCGCTCAGATCCGTCCCGATCCCCAGCTGGACGCAGGCGGGGTCCAGGGCCTCTGCAGAGTAGTCAGGTCTTACAGAAAGGCCCTGGGCTACTGGCACGTTCCCAGGAAGGGCAGGCCCGAGTCTGGTCCCCAGGGCTCGTCCAGAGGCAACGCCCCTGTTGTCACAGCCGCACATTTGCAGATGGACCCTTGGCCCCCGCTCTTGCCTTCGCCCCAAACCCTGGAGGGGCCCAGAAGGGGTCACAGGTTCCAGCTACTTCCCCGGGAAAGTGCTCAGGAGCCATAAGACAAGTCCAGACTTGCACTCAGGGCCCATCTGGCCATCGGCTTCCCACCCCCGCCCCCTGGCGCCCAGAGAATGTGACTCAGCACAGTGCGAGCTGGGGAGGGGTGAGGAGAGGAGCCGGAGGGCAGGGGGAGGGAAGCGGAGGGAGAGCTTGGGGCACTCTCCGTGCACGAACTTGGCTCTGCGGGGCCAGGCAAGCTCACGCTACCTCTGGCACCTCTGTTTCTTCGTGGGCAGAGCAGGGCTAGTACCGGCGTTGTGAGGATTAAGTGAGTCAGGACTTGCCAAGTGCGTTCCGTCCTGGGTCATCATAATGCCGGGACAAGTGCGTTCTGGCAAGCACCTGGCGGGCTTGCTGGGAGGGGTGCATTGGGTCAGGGCTATGATGCTGACGCTGTTTCCTCCCCGTGGGCAGTGGGGAGCAGGGAGGGTGAGGAGAGGGAACCCGCTGTGTCTCCAGCCCCTGGGGGTGGTGTGATTCATCCACAGAGCAGAACACACGCATTCATTTCACCGGCCAGCCGTTACTGAGCCATAACACGGGCTGCCCCCATGCTCAGTGTGGGCACGGCCTCTGGCAGCCAAGGAGGAGCAGGGTCCTGGCCACGGTCACCCTGTGCAGGAGGACGTGGAGCGCGGGGCCTCGGGAGGGAGACCCGGGCATGACTCTGGGCGGCAGAAGCCCCGAGGACGCTTCAGGAGAAGGCTGCCCTCGAAACCAGCCTGGGTAGTCTCCGCCGCCCTCAGTGGTGAGCCCAAGTCCGTCTCAGCCACGACCTCTGCCCGGGGCTCCTGAGTCAGCTGTTCGGTAGCTGCCTGCCTAGCTCTGCCCGGACACCCGAAGCCGCTTCGCGCGCTCCGCATTCCTGACGGCACGTGATGTATGATACATACGATACACACACATGCAGAGTCTAGAATATATAGTAAGACATAACATATACTATGTACACACACTATATACAACGTATAGTACAATGTATCCACGGATGTATACACAGTACAGTAATGTAATACGTGCATATTTGTGTGTAAATACACACACACATTTCCTTTTTATTATTTCTTGAGGTGTTTCTTTCTCTCTTTCCCCTTCCGGACTTACCTTAGAGACATGCCAGACCTGGGTCTCGCCTTGCCCCTCCTCTTCTTATTTCTTGGTCCTTGCTGGGCTCTCGTGATGTTCCTCGGCTCTAACCCCACCTGTGGCTCACCAGTCCTGTCTTCTCCAGTTGTTGCCATCCCTTTGCTCAGCTCTTCCGTGGAGTTTGTTGTTTATTTCATTTTTTAAACGACCATCTTTTCATTTTCGTGCACTCTGGTTTTTTTCCGTAACAACCTATACTGATCCATAGGTGCCATGGACTCATTCTGTGCTTTGTAAGGTCTCTATCCTCCCGTTCTTTTAAGTTTCAGAGGCTCCTGGTGGGTTAGAAGTGGATGGAAATAGACCCCACGCACTTCAGTGTGGGCTAATTAGCCAGAGATCCCTAAGTGAGATTATGACACAGAACAGGAGCGAGCTTGAGTCCAATGATCTCGGGAAGCACAGGGCTGCCATTATTAACATTGTCCAAGGAAAGCAGGTCCTGCCAAGTTCTTTTTAAAATTGAGACATAATTCACAGACCATACAATCCCCCCCCTTAAATTGTATACAATTCAGTGCTTTCTGTGTATTTTGTGTATTCATGAATCTGAGCAACCATCACCACTGCCTAATTCCTGAACAGAAAGAAATCCCATACCTGTCAGCAGTCACTCCCCATTTTTCTCTGATCAAAACCCTCGAATTTCATATAAATGGAATCCAACAATATGTGACCTTTTGTATTTGCTGTCTGCCTTAGCATCGTGTTTCTGAGACTCATCCGTGCTGTGGCATGAACCAGAACGTCATTCCATTTTATGGCTGAATAATAGTTCCACATACTGTTCATGCATTCATCAGCTGGTGGACATTTGGGTTGTTTCCACTGTTTTACTGTTATGAGTAGCATTGCTGTAAGTGTTCATGTACAGGTTTTTGTGGGGACACACTTCCAGTTCTCTTGGGCATGCACCCACGACTTGGAGTGCTGGGCTGCCACATTCCCTTCCCACCAGTGTTGTGCCAGAGTTCAGACTAATCCACGTTCTTGCCAACATTTGTCATTGTCAATTGTTTGATAATAGCCATGCTAGTGGGTGTGACGTGGCATATGATTGATTATGGTTTGGATTTGCATTTCCCTAATGACTGATGATGATAAGCATATGTTCATGTGCTTATTGGTTGTTGTTCATCTTCTGTGAAGAAATGTCTACTCAAATCCTTTGCCCATTTTAAAATCAGGTTGTTTGTCTTTCTCTTGTTGAGTTGTAAGTGTTCTTTATATACTGTGGATACTAGACCCTTATCAGTTATATGATTTACAAATATTTTTTCCCATTCTGTGGGTGTCTTTTCACTCTCTTGATAATACCTTTTAGAGTGCAAATTTTTGAAAATCTGATGAAGCCCAATTTATCTATTTTTGCTTTTATTGTTTCTATGTTTGAGGCCATATCTAAGACACCATCAACTAATACAAAGTCATGAAGATTTACCCTTTGTTTTTCCTTAAGAGTTTTATAGTTTTAGCTCTTACATTTAGGTCTTTGATCCACTTTGAGTTCATTTTTATGTAGAGTGTGAGGTAGGGGCTCAACTTCATTGTTTTGCCTGTGGGTAACCAGTTGTACTGGAACCATTTATTGGAAAGACAATTCTTTTTTTTTTTTTTAAGATTTCATTTATTTATTTGAGAGAGAACAAGAGCGAGAGAGAGAAAGCATGAGTAGAGGGGAGGGATAGAGGCAGAGGGAGAAGCAGATTCCCCACTGAGCAGGGAGCCAGACACGGGGCTTGATCCCAGGACCCTGGGATTCTGACCTGAGCCAAAAGCAGATGCTTAACCGACTGAGCCACCTAGGTGCCCTGGAAAGACAATTCTTGAATTGTCTTGGCCTCCTTGTCAATTGATCAGAAACATATGGATTTGTATCTGGACTCTCAATTCTATTCCACTGATATGTGTGTATCCTGAGGCCAGCACCACATCGTCTTGATTACTATGCCCTTGTAGTAAGTTTGAAATCAGGAAGCAGGAATCCATGTGTTTTGCTCTTCTTTTGCAAGTTTGTTTTGACTATTCTGTATTCCTTGTATTTCCATGTGAATTTTAGAATCAGCATCTCAATTTCTGCAAAAAAACCCAGCTGGGATTTTAATAGGGGTTGTGTTGAATCTGCAGATCAGTTTGGGGAGTATTGCCATCTTAACAATTTTAGTCTTCCCATCGATGAACATGGGCTGTCTTTCTGTTTCTTTAGTTCTTCTTTAATTTCTTTCAGTGATGTTTTGTAGTTTTCAGGGTACAAGTCTTGCACTTGTTTTGTTAAATTTATCCCAAAGTATTCTATTCTTTTTGATGTGATTGTAACTGGATTATTTTCTTAATTTCATTTATGGATTATTTGCAAGTATGTAGAAATGCAATTGATTTTTGTGTATAACCTTGTATCCTGCAACTTTGCT